ATAAATTAAAGATAGTTTGATAAAGGTGAATTTTTTATTTGGGGGGGAGATGATGGCCATTATATTGTTCTTTGAGCAATTAAATATTTTATTTTCTTCCCAAGACAATGTCCACAAGAGGGCAGACAGAAGATGGCAAACCAAACCATTTAACACAAGCCTCAGCTGAAAAGTTAAGAACCCAGAATCCAGGGTTGAAAGCAATCTTAAAGGTCATCTAAATCCAACTTCCTTATATTACAGGGAAAAAACTGAGGCCCAAAATGGTAAAGTGGCTCATCCAAAGTCAGCAGGCTCGTCATGCAAGAGGCAGAAATAGAACCCCATCTCCTCACTTTTCCATCTATCCTCTTTCTACCAAACTACAGCGCTTCCTTAAACAAGGCAATGTTTAATCTGAAAAAGAGAAGATTTAGATGGATATGAAATGAAGGGCAGGTTCTTATCAAGAAAGAATTTTTTGTGGGTTTTGTGTTTTGTCGCAAAAGATGGCAAATCTAGAAAGAAAATACGAGGAAGTTACTTTCAATCCAATAAAAGAACTTCTTAACAATTGAGGATGTCCAAAAGGTGGGACAGGTAGGGGATGTCCTATTCAAACAAAAGCCAAAATAGTCATATCTAAAGCAAGCTATTCTCAAGATTCTGCACGAGATAGGTACTCGGGGTAGAGGTCTTCTCAGTTCCCTTCCAACTCTTTTTAAAGGGTCTATAAATTTTTTATTTGTGGGAGTGGGAGAATACGAAATCCTTGGATTTCATTAAATCAACTCAGCTAAAGAATAAGGAAGACTTCTCACTTGCTAATGTCTTAGTTTTTTTAATTATTATTATTTTAGTGAAATTCTGCTTTCAGCTGATTTTCATTACGTCAGGTCCTTTGGGAAGCACATCCCCAGAAAAGTCTCTCAGGGATTATAATGTCCCAGGTTGGTGGCAAAGCAGAATTCCCTTCCAGAAGTTCTAAATTCATATGATTTTTTGTCATGTATTTCTTTTCAAAAAAACAAACAAACAAAAAGGCTGTTTGTGACAACATGGATAGACCTTGAGGGCATTATGCTAAGTGAAATAAGTCAGACAGAGAAATACAAATACCATATGATCTCACTTATATGTGGAATCCAAAATGAAAACAAACAAGCAAAAACCCCCAAAAAACAAGTTCACAGATACAGAGAACAGATTAGAGGTTGCCAGAAGTGGAGGGTGAGGGATGGGCAAAATGGGAAAAGGGAGTAAAAAGGTACAAACTGCCAGTTATAAAATAAGTAAGCCATGGGGATGTAATGCACAGCATGGCAACTATAATAATACTGTATTGCATGTTTGAAAGGTGCTAAGACAGTAAATCTTCAAAGTTCTCATCACAAGAAAAAAAATTTTTTTCTAACTATGTATAGTGACAGATGTTAACTAGACTTACTATGGTGATCATTTCACAATATATACAAATATCAAATCATTATGTTGTACATCTAAAATTAATATAATATTGTATGTCAATTATACCTCAATAAAAAAAGTGGTAATAGAAATAAAATGTCATCGCTGATAGCACAAATTTATGTCACAACAGTCAGAATTTAAAACCCCAGCTTAGGCACTTAAAAGTCATTGGGTGAATTACTTAATCTCCCTATGACTGTCTACTAATCTATGTAGTAGAAATAAGAATAACCTTCTCTGAGGAGTTGTTGATGGAATTGCTTGACATCACCACATGTATTGTGCTTAAAAAGTTGCCTAGAATCTGAGTTCAATAAAAGGTTATAGTTATTCTTTAAAAAAAAAAAAAAAAGAGCCAGGCCTCGTGGTGTAGTGGTTAAGATTCGGTGCTCTCACTGTCGCGGCCCAGGTTCGTTTTCTGGTCATGGAACCACACCACTTGTCTGTCAGTTGTCATACTGTGATGGCGGCTCACATAGAAGAACTAAACTAACAACTAGGATACACAACCATGCACCGAAGCTTTAAAAAAAAATGCTGGGCTATACCATTGGCTATTAACAGATAACCTCTGGTGGTGGGTGGGTAGTCTAATCCTGGTAAGGACTCAATTTCAGTACCTGACCACAGGCCAGGACAAGAAGGAAGATGAAATCCAAACACGGTTTAATCAAAGTCTTTCCTCCTAAGAGGTAAACATTCTTTAACCTCTTTCTCACTTCTCACCTAGTACCCCAACCCATACCCACAAAACTCTCTCCTGTGGAAAACTTAGTATCAATCCACACTAAAGTGACCAACGGGGTAAGAGTTGGGTGGCTGACCACCCATGCTGTAGCATCTCGGAAACTACAAAGACGTCTGCTTTTCTGCATTGAAGGACTGAGACTCCAGAGGTCAGGGAACAGCCTCCCTAATTGAAATTAATCTGCCAAAGGATGACAAGAGAGTTCTGCAAGGAGAATCTGCAGGTGGAAAGAGCCATCTTACAAGCAGTTCCCCATCTCCTTCCCATAAAATTCATCTTACCCTCAGAATTGTCTCATTCTGAGGCCTTCTGCTATTACAACTGGCCCAGACGAGTTCCACCCCATTTTACAACTACAGCCCAAGAATGGCCAAACCGAACCACTTCCCTGGTTCCCCATAAACAGCTAAGAAAGGCTGGAATTTTCTTTTCTTAATTATAAAACAAGAGAGAGAGTCTAGAAAAGAGTGAGAGGGGAGAGAGACCACTTATAACCCTACCACCACAACACAATCCATCATTCTTCTTCAGTTCTTTCTAACTGTTATTTGTGAGCATTCATACAGTGATTTACAGGACTAAGAGGAAATTTTTTAAAAAATACAAAATACACTAATACACTCTAGGAAAATTCAGCCATACCAGTACAACCTTCATTCTATACCAGTTAACTCACTAGACACTCAAGCTCTATTTCTTTACATAAACCGAAAAGAGGAAAGGGAGCTACTAATTATATTTGCTCACTCTACATATGCTAGCTTCTTTATCACAGCACCCCTTGAAACATACCATACTATTATGTCAATTTTAGAGGAAACTAAGGCTCTAAGAAGCTAAAGAAACCCAAAATCATATAGCTAGAAAATCGTGGAACCAGAGTCAAATCCTAATCCTAATCTTTCTGACTCTAAAACCCACACTCAAAGTCAAAAGACAAGTCATAGACTGGGGAAAATATCTACAAACACATGACAAGGGGTTAAGATTCCTAACAAGCAAGAATACCAACAAAATAGATTTCATAGAGACAAATAGGAACACAAGTTTTTTAAAAAAATAAGCAGACTGAAGAGGAAATGCAAGTGCCCAATAAACATTTGAAAAGATGCTGAACTTCACTAGGATTCAGGGAAAGGCAAATTAAAGTAATTAGATACTGTTTCTCACCCATCATCTTTGCAAAAATTTAGAAGAGTGATAACAGTCCACACCAGTTACAAAGAAAGGGCCACTTTCTTACACTGCTGTTGGAAGTGTAAATTGTTACACTCTTTTCTAGAAGTTCCCTGATACAATATCAACCAAAATTTAAAATTCACATTCTGTTTGACCCTATATTATCACTTATTGGAATCTAGCCTCAAAAAAACAAAAAGCACCAGTACACATATTTAAAGATATTTAATGTCGCATTGCTCATGTTGGAAAAATAGAAACTGCTCATCAATAGTTCCCACTTGAATAAATTAAAATATATCCATATTTTTGTAACAAAAACTCCTGACAAAATTTGAGAACAGTAAAATAATTTTCCAAATCAAGTAAAGTCCCTAATCACTCTTTCGTCTTTTTTTCCTTATAGACTATCTTTAATATATTTACACTTTGCAGACGTAGTACTACATATCATGTTAATAAGTTACGAATTTTTTTTTTAAAGATTTTATTTATTTATTTTTTCCCCCAAAGCCCCAGTAGGTAGTTGTATGTCATAGCTGCACATCCTTCCAGTTGCTGTATGTGGGACGCGGCCCCAGCATAGCCAGAGAAGCGGTGTGCGCCCGGGATCCGAACCCGGGCTGCCAGCAGCGGAGTGCGTGCACTTAACCGCTAAGCCACGGGGCTGGCCCAATAAGTTACTAATTACTAGCCTATGAAAATGCCTCATTAAAATTCCATGTGATAATTTGACAAATTGTGTTTTTCAAAGCAAATGTATATCAATTTTTGGCAACTTTAAAAACGTGTGAAAGTTAATTTGGTCTTGAAATCATGGTATATAAATTCATCAGCTAAAAACTTTTAAAGTTTTTTTAATAAATGAATGCAAAGAAAATACATCTACAAATTTCATTCCTCTCAATTACTCAGACCATTTTTTCAATCTGTAGGGAATACTAGCCAAAATAATTCCACTTTTAAATATATATATACTACTTAGAGTTAACTTCCAGAAAAAAAGAAAAAAAAGTGTGAGGAATGCAACATGAATAAAGAAAAGCAAGAAAGCTGGAGTAAAGGTACATAATTTTAACAACATGTTCCTGGTCTCCAGTCTTCCTCTGCATCCTGGATTGTTTCCTCCACACTCGGCTAGTTACTTGGGAATTAAATAAGTCCCTTTGAGATGCTCCAGCTGCTGGTTCCCTAGGGTTTCCCCAAAGTCCCCATAAAGGCATATAAGATATAAAATCATGAATTTTTCCATGAGTCCCCATAAAACAATGTCATCTGTCCCTTCTCCAATATCCCAATGCATGCTATATACACTTCTTATGACACTTAGTTCAAAATGCTAAACAATGCGGCCTTTGATATCTGTATACCTGTGTTATTATTTTCCACCACACTGTAAGCAACTAGGGAGCAGGGTATTGAGCACAGAATCAGATCCCAAGTTTTGGGAAGACCTGAGAGTTCAGCCAGTCCAAACCCCTCATGTAAAGCGTGAGAGCTCTCCACAATACTCCTCTAAACAGAAGAGTCCATGATGGGGGAACTACCCCACCCCACAGCCGCCTGTTCCTTCTTGGGGAAAGTGTAGCTCCTCGAAAGTTCTCCTATAAATGGAATTAAAATATTTTTCTGAAATACTGAAATTTAACCCCAGTCTTACCCCTTGGTAATCCAGAGAACAGATCAAATCCCACGTGTCACAGGACAGCTTGTGAAATATTAGAATGCTCATATTTTTCCTTAAATCTCCTAACTCAGTGCTTTGCACATTAAAAAAAAAAATAGTTAAATAACTTTCCTCCATCACTCATCAATGTACCAGGAGTGGGATAATGTGGTATATTCTCTAAAAGATATTTTATTGGTTTTATGACATTTCATTTCATTTTCATTTCACTATCCGGTTTTAAGAAAAAACAGTCAGAAATACAATAGGCAAGAATTAAAAATTCAAAACACAAATACATTCTTCCCCCTCTCACCCCTTTAAGGTTTTCTCATCTCCACCGCAAGCAGACAGTTTCTTGAACACTGTTGGGATGCCCCATGTGGGCAAAGGTGGGCTGGGACAAGCCTTCCACCTCTGCTAGGAAGAGTCCATCCTCAAGGGGAAGTTTGTTCTCACCTCCAAGATCCCCTGGGCTTCCTGGGCTGACTCAGGACTTCGTATGCAGCCTGGATTTCCAGAAAATGCCTCTGAGCCTCCTCTGTCTGGTGCCGGTTGTGGTCAGGGTGCCAGATCTTCACTAGCTCCCGGTATCTGCGATGTATGTCTTCATTTCTTGCCCCCTCTGAGAGACCCAAAGCCTTAGGGAAACAGAAGCTAACAAATTAGAACCTCCTAAGTTGTCAGGGCACCTGGGCATCTCCCTGTTCCCTCCCTAAATCAGGCTGTGGTATCTCTGGAATTGGCTTCTACTTGTCCACAGGAAAGACCTAGAGCCTCCAATTAGAATTCCAGCCTTCTGAAACATGGGCAAGCTCTGGATCCCATGGCAAGAACCAGGATTTGCCTTTAATCACAGCTGCCCATTTTCCAACCTGGAACATCGCATCCCCGTCAAGATCTCTTCCTTGCAAGAGAAATAAGCATATATGTCCACCAAAGACATGTACAAGAATGTTCATAGCAGCTTTATTAAGAATAGCCCCAAACTAGAAACAACCCAAATGTTCATTAACAATAGAGTGGATAGATAAATTGTAGTATATTCATACAATGGGATAACTTTATAACAGTAAAAACAATTTACAATTGTGTGCAACAGTATGAATAAATCTCACAAACATAATGTTGAATGAAAGAAGTCAGACACAAAAGAGTACATACTGAATGATTCCATTTATAAGAAGTTCAAGAATGGGCAAAACTAATCTATGGTAATAGAAGTCAGAATAGAAGTTCCCTCTGAGGAAAGGAGTATAGACTGGGAAAGGGCATGAGAGAATCTTCTTCGGGCTGGAAATATTCGATATCTTGATCTGAGTGGTGGTTACATAGTTATATGCATAAAATTGGTGCACTTTACATATGTTATACCTCAATAAAAAGTAAATAATATATACATATCATTTTCCCACTCACTATTAGAGCCTCTGCACATTCACCTATTGCACAGAGAAGCCCAAAGAAGCCAGGACACCCTTCTGGGGCCTAACTCAGCAGATATGAAAACAGTACTTCCACATAAGGGGCACCAGCTCCAATAAGGCTTAGCCTAACTCTCAGACCCATCCCAGAAAGGAAGGAGAGGGAAGAAGGCCTTACCTGGTAAGCCAGCTGACGCTTCTCATTCTGAAAACTGTGAACAAATTCATAGAGCTTCTCCCACTCCTGGAAGTAGCTGCTGCTGCAGCCAGGATCCCCCACCAGCAGCCTCCAGACTCGGTAAGGCAGAAGGAAGACAGATTCCATGAGGCGGCCAAGGAGGGGGAAGAAGCTGAACCAACTCAAGAAGGAGCCAAGGGTCTCTGCCACATAGCTGAGGGTGGCAGCTGTGTTGCAGAGGGCGCTGTATGCTAGCGGGCCCGTGAAAGCAAGGTAAGCCAAGCCCAGGCGGTAGAGCCGCACACTGAGAGTCTCTGACCCAGCCGAAGTTTTGTAGCGGCGATGCTTCTGGGCTGTGATGCTGGCAGCCAAGCTGATGGGCAGGATAGCTATGGGGCGGCCATAGAAGATAGGGGAAGTAAGAAATGCCGCCCCTAGAGTATTCTTAAAGTCTGAGGTCTGGTTGCCAACAGCAGCCACCAGCAAGACTCCTAAGCCAACTGCCAGTGGGAGTCCTACAATATAGAAGTTAGCCATGAAGGAAAAGCTAATGAGAGCCACAAGGCCAAAATAGATGCCCACTATCATCTGGGCAGCAAAGCGAATGAGACTCAGGGGGGGTGTCCCCCCTCCTGAGCTCTGCCTCTGCCCCTGGGCTCTGTTGGCCTGAGCTACAAAGCTTGGGAGCTTCCAGAACTCCCAGAGCCAGCCCAGCCCACCACCCCCCAGGGTAAGCATCCAGAGCAGTGCGTGGCTGTCTCTTCCCAGGTACAGGTGGTGGAGCCCAGCAGGGCCCCCTACAGCCCAGAGGACATAGGTCACCAGGAGCCCCTTGGCCATCCTGTAGAGAAAGGGTCTCAGAACAAGTCCAGTGGCACCTGACATTGCTCAGAGTGTAGAAATGTGGGGTCCTCTGGGAGAATCATGTCCGTCATGGCCCCAGACTTATCCTTAGACCCTAAGAGATGGAAAAAAGCAGTCGTAAGACTATATGCAGGTCCCAACACAGTAACCATTTGCCTGTCCAATATGAATGGAGTCCAGATCTTCCTGAGTGTCCCTGAAATGCTAGTTCTCTCATACCCTTCAGTCTAGCACCTCATTTCTGTTTTTTACAAACACAGCAACTCCAAATCTCCGGGAGAATGTTTTAAATGCTTTCAGTTGAGTAACTGGGAACTCAGCACTCGGACAAAAAAGCAGAAGCTGAAACTTCAGCCCTCCCCTCAGACCACCGACCCCTCGAATGACTCACGGGGTGGCCTTGGGGAGGGAATAGGAGTGAATACAATGCCCTTCTAAAGTCCTATATGTTTTGAAAGTCTCCTGCCCCACCCCCCCACTCTGACTATGGCGGCCCTCAGACACGCCAAGGTTTTAGCTCCTCTCCAGCCTCCCATCTCGCCAGGTCACGAAATATTCCCACAAGTCAAACTTAAAAGAGGTCCCGAATTCCCTCCACTTAAACAGCTCTGGAAAACTGCATTATGACCTAGACCCTGGCACCCCACAGTTCAACCACCTCCTTCCAGCGCAGACTTGGAGAGTCTCTCCAAAGCGACCAGATGAATCCCCAGAACGTCACACCAGATGCCATAGTGTACCTGCCAGTCTCTCCTGTCTACGCAGAGTGGGCCTTAGGAGCCAGCACCCGCTAGCCCCCGGGGTGAGCGGCCGCACCTGGGCACCCTGGCTCCCAGGCCCCGTCAGATCAGTCATTTCCTTAGACCACAGGGTCAAAATGGCCCCTCTCACTCCGCTCCCACTTCCATCCAAATGGACTTTGTCTTGCAGTGTTTGTTGTGTCACGGAAGTCGGGCCGTCCGGACCAGGCCCCTCCCCGAGGACCTCCCCGGCCCCCTCAGGATCACCTTTCAGCCTCGGGCTCCTCTCGCCCGCCCTCTCGGGTAAAGTCGGTTTAAGGTTTTCCCCGCCTCCCCAGGCTCTAAGAGACTGGTGCGGCGCCCCCACTCCTGCAGGCCGAGCGCGCCTGCAGCGCGGCCCCAAGACCGCCAGGTGGCGCTGCCGGCTTACGGCCGGGCGGGGCCGGGCGGGTCTACAGACTCACCTTGTCCAGTTGCCCCGGGAAAGCAGCCGAGAGCCGTCCTCTATAAAGGCAAAAATAGGGGACGCCTTGATCGCCCTTTCCACCCCCACAAATGGAAGGGTGACTCTTCCCTCACCTCAGACTGCACTCTCCTCTCTCCCTACTCCGCTGCCCTTCAAGACTGCCTTAGATGGCTCCATTTCCAATTCCTCTAACGCAGAGACACCCAGACAGGCTGCAGAGAGGGGACCCCGCCCCCGCGAGTTTGCCTCACTGCCTCTCCTCCAGGCCTACCAGTCGGGGGCACTACATCTAGACCTGAGCCTAAGACCTGAGGAGCCTCCCGATGCAGCGGGGGGCCCAAGTCTGCTGGATCCCGCCGGCTATGGCGAGAAGGAGAACCTGGAGCAAAAAGGGATAGAGGGTGAGGGGCGACCCACCGGGAGAGAGAGGACACAGCCCGAGAGTAGTCTGCCGTCCTCCCGCCTCGGTGCTGGGATGGAGCTGGGATGCAAGATGCCTTCATTTCAATGTCCAGAGCTCCAGTGCTTGTTCTGCTACGTGACCTTGGCCAAGTCACGCCGCTACCTGGGCCTGTTTCCTCCTCTGTAAAGGAAAGGCTTGGATCTCCGAGGTCTCCAACCTCGACGTGGGGTGGTGTGGGCCTGGGGCGCCTCACCCATGTCGCCTCCCCGCAGTCGGCAGAGTGCTTCTGTCCCCTCCACACTGCCAGCCCCCTCGGTCCTTATCCTGGCCCGGGGAGGGAATGCAGCTCACCATATTGCCCCTTAGGGCTCGCTGAGGGGCCAGGGGTGGAAGGGGCCCTAAAACAACGCTGGAGCCGCCAGCTGGGGGGCGGGGGCGGACAGAGGCGCTGAATAATGAATGAGACTTAATTGGGCCCGCACTGCGCGGCGGCGAGCTAAGCTCGGCAAACAGCTCCGGCGGCGGCGGCCGCCGCTGGACAAACAAACTCGCTGCGGGCGCAGGGAGGTGGGGGGGAGGGTTGGGGGCAGCGGCGGGAGTGGGAAGGGGCGCGGGGGCGGGGCGGGGAGGCCGCCCGGGCCCCTGGGCGGCCGCGCGCCGCTAGCTCTGAGCCCAGAGGAACTCAGGAGTGCGGGGCTGCGCTGGCCCCCCCAGAGAGTGCGGGTCGGGGAGGGGGCTCAGGGCTCGATATCAGGAAGCCAGGACTGGGGAGGGAGAGCCAGCGGCCCAAGGGCTACATGAGCGCGAGGAAAAGCTGGAGAAACGAGTGGAGGGCGGAAGAGAAAGGGAAAAGTGGGAGAGGAAAACGCGCACCAGGGGAGGGGCTGCAGCGGGGTAGGGGCGGGAGAAGAGCCGTTACCGAGAAGAAAGGGAAGAGCGATGGAGGAACAAGTGAAGGGAGGCGCGAGGGGCCGGGAGAAGAAGAATTGGAGAAGAATCAAGGAGAGGGATGAGAGGTGACCGGAATGAGAACGAGAGCGCGGCGGGGCGGGCGGGAGGCGCCCCTCTCTCCGCCTCGCCCCGCTGCGCTCCCGCCCTAGCGCTCTCTCCAGCCGCCCGCACTCACTTTGTCACAATTACAGGGCCGTCACTCGGCCCGGATTGTTTTCCCCAAATTGTTGTTCTATAAACTGGTGCGGGGTGGGGAGGGGGGGATCTGACAAGCTGAAGCGGGAGGGGAGGGTCTGAGATGCGGTGGGGGACGTGGTGGTGTTTGTACCCCCAAGCGGACCCGGGGCGGGCAGGTGAATCCAGAGACTCACACGGGAATTCTGGTTGCTCCCCCAGCCTCGTCGCTGATCCCGCTTGTAACCTTCCTGGCCCTTCTCAGCCTCGGCTGCCTCGATTTCCCCAGCAGAGAACTGCGACATTTGGAGGGCAGGGGCGGCGGAGCCGATTGTAGATGGGGACCAAACTTCCCTGCTCACTCCACTGTCTTTTGTTCTTAATTACCCTCGTCTCAGGGAGAGGGGGTCTATGCCAGCTCAGCCGTCCCCAGAGCGCCCTCGGGTGCCTACTCACCCCCGCTGGATGGCCAGACCCACCTCAGACAGGTCTGGGCCTCCCTCTGCCCCGCCCCGCCCTTCAGCTCCCGGCTCCGCGCCGCTCGGTGCCCCACGCCACCTTGCTGTCCCTCAATTCCGCAAACATCTGTTGCGCGCCCAGTGTGAGCCAGAGCCGCGCCAGCCTACCCCCCAACTCTCCCCCGCCACCCTCCCCTTCCCGGCCCGCCCGGCCTGTCGGCTTCGTGACAGCCGCCGCCGAAGCCCAGGCCCCGCGGGAGCGGCCGGAGAGGAGCCGCCGCATGGCTGGCTCCGACACCGGCCTCCCCGGCGGCTCCAGGGGCAACGGAGGGTGGCGGCCGCTGAAGCGAGACCGGAGCCGGCCCGCAGAGTTGGCAGAGCTGGGCGGGGGGAGGGGGGAGCCCCTGGGCGGGCTTGTCTGCCGGTCTCTAAGGCCTGTCTGTCTCCTCATTCCGTTGAGCTGGCGTTCGGCCGGGGCCGGGACCCCGCCTGGCTCCGCGCGATGGGACGAGGTTGGCTCCTGCGCCCCCTCCCCCCGTCCGGGTGATTTACACGCCGGCTCCGCGCAGCAGCCGCTTCCCAATCAGGAATATCGACCCCGGGCGGGGCCCCCGGGCCGCATCGATCCCTCTAAGGTTCAGGATTTAAAAATGTCAAATTTGCCTTTTCCAGGCTAGCGGAGGGTTCGAGGGCCTGGAGCAGGGCTTGGGGGTGGGGGTGGACAGCGGGGCATCGACCAGGCGCCTGTGCCCTGAATAAGAAGCCACCTGGCGGTGCCCGGGGCCCTGACACTGCGTGGCCATCCTTGGGTTGCAGTTGCCCCTGGATGGGGGCGGGAAGGAAGCTCTACTCCCTTTCCCCATCCCCATGAGCCTCACTGTTGCGGTGGGGTATTCCCAGGGGCAGAAGCCTCAGAGGAACAAAGAGAGACCTCAAAATGTAGGGAGAAAAATTTGGAAGAGATCCCTAAAAGTGGAGACATGCAGACACAAGGAGGGGCACAGTGACAAAGATATAGAGGCTCCAAGAGATACCCTAGCTATAAGGAAGAGCAAGTCAAAGGGAAGGTGGCTGAAAGACACACTGAACAAAACAGGGTCCAGAGACCCAGAACCACCCCAACCGACCCAGGAGACTTAGGACTGGGGAAAGGCCAGGCTCAACCTTTTGGTGTGTTTGAGAGTGAGGGAGGAGAGTGGAGACAAAGCCAGGTGATGAAAGAGAGTTATTAGGGAGAGGAATAAGAATGTAATTAGCATTAACCTCCCAAGTGTCAGCTAGTAACTGGACCTGAGATCCAAAAAGTAAGGGACCCAGGGGTCACTAGCCCAGGCCCAAAGAAGTGGGCTCTCTCGGAGGTCTGATGGTCTCCCCTTTCCCTCCTTGAAATCCGCCTCCTCCTCCCTGACTACCACCAGCCTGGGGAAGCCAGGTGGGCTGGAGATCACATCTTATATTGGAAACTGTTTGTATATGTGATGGAGATTGTGTGTATGTGTAGAGGTGTAGACTATAGAAAACTGATAGTAACCACTTCCTTCCCCAGGACTCAGCAACCTAGTCTTCAGACTTTGGGGGGAAAAAATCCACTATGTTCAGGAAGCTTGGGGAAGGGACAATGTTTGGGGTGGAGGTCATGGAAGGAGGCAGTTGTCCAGACCAGCATTCTCACAGTTAACATCTATCCCCCCACCCCAGCAGCACACCTCAGCTGTCACCATGCACACTGCCATTTCCTACAGAACTGGAGACAGAGAGCTGACAGCAAGTGGTGTGCTGGGGCGGGAAGGGGCGGGGGGGGAGACAAGCAGGGAGAGGCAGTGGCTCGTCCTCAAACCCGAGCAGCTCACACCTCCACTGACAAAATCAGGCCGACACATCCCTAACACTGACACACACAGTCATGGACCCCCACGCGGGATCTACACGCATCAATCCTTGTCACACACACCACGTCTGTGTGCACAGATACACACAGTTCCTCCCAGGTCAGGCGGAAGCGCCTACTCCTAAGTCCTGTCTACACCGTTTCTTGATATTTTAGACCTTAAATCGCCTAACCTGTGGAGAGGTCTTAGGTC